ATCTGACAGTTCGCAGTCAAGCTGACCGCACGTCATCTGAAACCGAAATGTGACTGGCTGCACGTCTTCCATGATTAAGGAAAGGCCGGCTGCACGACTTCCGGAGGTGAGAGCCGTTTTGGCATGCTTTTTGGCATTCGAAAAGTCTAGAAATCGCCTGATATCTGCGTGTATATTTAATGCGATTAGTCAATCAAGTTTGAATTTCAGGTCAAATCCACCCGTCGCACTCCATGAACTCCTCGCGCTAGGGTAGAACCCTTAGCCCAAGGAATGGAGGGCAATTGATGGAGGGTGATTTGACTTGACCTCCTAGGAAGGCGACACGTGGATGTGACTCAATGAAAGCAACAGCTCAGCACAACAGCCTGGCTTCGACTAAGTAACGAGCTTGTTAAAGTCCTCGCAGGGTAGCTCGCTACATTACAACTCGCCATGGAATGAGCTCTTTACAGCACGAGCTCAAGGACCCTGGTATGTAGAAAGGGAATACTCCAAGCCAAGTTTATCCCAACTCGCAAGCTGAGAGAATCAGCTCGCTCCAATACTTAGGCAAGAAGACTACCCCAAAGGCAACCTCAGGAGGAATGACCTTGGGATAAATCCAGGAGCTCGCTACAAGGCAGCTTGCTATGGGATAGCTCACTACAAAGCAACTCGCTGTTAAGCGACGCTGCATTTTCGGGAAGTTTCTTATGTGATGAGATCGTACCCGTCAGACTGCACCATGTCTCCTGACTGACGGTGCAGTCCCTGCCAGCCTAGTAGACTGCACCCACGTCTCTCGACAGGTGGTGGCGTGTCTGTCCTTTCCAGGTCGTGTCTCTCATCCGATTGGGCAGTACTCTGCGACAGTTACCTGTGCAGCCCTAGCAAATAACGGCTGCGACGGAGGGCCAGTGGTGGTTACGCCCGATTTGACAAGAACACCTGCATTTAAAGGCCCCAGGGTCGAAGGGGCGAAGGTAATTTGGAATTTTACTGATCTAGCGCTATCTGCACTCTTAGCTCTCTTTGCATCCTTTACAGCTCTCCCAAGTATCCTAACTTAAGCATCGGAGTATTCCCACCGGACGAGCTCCCTGAGAATCCTTCACCTTCCTCTTCTCAAGTACCATCCGTCGCCAGTTAGGAGCCAAGCGTCCGCTAGGTAGGAGTGCCTGGATTGCGCTACATCAATAAATATTGATTGGGTTTGACTATGATCTGAAAAAGATATGATATTTGAAAAACAACTTACAAATAAACCAAAATCATAAATGTGATAGTGTCATGGGTTGGTTTTGATTGGTCAAAATTCTTTCCATACCATATGTTTGGATAGACATTAATAAAAAATATGTTATTTCATTAAATATTAACATGGCTTAGTGGTTTGAAGGTGGGTTTAAGACTTTTGGTGTCATGCATGCGGTGTTTTGAGTTCAAATCATGCTATTGTCATTGTTTACATTTTTAATAAAAGATGTGTATCGATCGGGTGGTTGAAGAGGCATATGCTCTTGGTCATTGGGTGGCTTTAGTTCTGTATGAATTATGCCAGTCTCATTTTTTTTTTAAATGAGATGCGATTTGTTGTTGTCAAATGAAGGCATGGACATGGACACCCGATACACTGTCGTATCGGTGCATATCGAATCGTATCACCCGATACTAGGGGTGGCCACGAGCTAAGCCTTTCACAAGCTATTCGAGCTCAGTTCGGTTTAAACCGAGCTTCAAGCTGAATTTAAGCCTGATATATAGGCTCATTTGCTAATCGAGTCGAGCTCGAGCCCAGTGAATTTAAGTCTGATATATAGGCTCATTTGTTAAAAATATATGACATATTTTTAACTATATAAAATATTATTAGGTTGGGCTTGGGCTTTGGCTTATAGTTTTTGAGAAACCTTGGGCTTGGCTTGAAACAAAAGTTGGGCTTAGTGTTTTGGGCCTGAGCATGAGCTTGCGAGCCTAAAATCTTGTCCAAGCCCAACAATAAATAGGTCGATCCATCTAGCCACCCAGCCCATGAATAGGTCTAATAGTCAAGATTTTGAAATGCCCACTTGGACAATGGAGATGGTCTTTAAGTGTGTAATGAGGTCGTGGATGAATAGGTCAATGAAATTGCTCGATACAAAATCTTTTTGGTTGAATGGACAAATGGGACTATTTTTTGACAAATTTGACATGATCGGTATTTTTTTTGAAAAATAGATTTACTTCATATAAAGAAAATTTTAAAATATTATTAGTATTTTAAATATATTTTGATATATATAATCGGGACCAGGGCGAAATAGAAACTTTCTTATCCCTATTAATCTCATCCCTATCCCGTCCCCGTCCCTGCCAAGGCAATCTCCATCCCCAATCCCATTGCGTGGGAAGACCACGTAGCAATGGGAACGAAGAAAATTGTCATCGTAACTCTTATCCTCTTGTTTTGAGTTGAATTTGTCTGATTTCTTGTGGGACTTGTTTTTGTACCTATGAATGAACAAACACATGGAGGACCAAAGACCCGTCTAAAACAGGGCCACATGACCCCATATTATCACGAGAAATTTAAAAAAGATGCTCTCAATGACCACAAGAATACAGAGGATGGACCACACATAGCTTTCAATTTTTTTTCCATGTTGATGAAATTGAAAGGGATATTTCTGAGAGAAAACTGATTTTCTTCAGACTCATGTGTGGAGGAGAACGTAGAGAACTGGATATATGATTGGACCACGCTTCATATCTCAGATGAATGGTCTAATGGAAATGTCTACAGTAACAATTTTCTAATTTCTACGTCGTGCTAGGTCAATGATGGAAGATGGATTGATTGATACATTACAATTGTTTATTGTTTAATCACGTCATCTTCCCTTCATTTTTAACCTTTTTTCAATTTATTCCAAACTGTAGTCGTAGCATGTGTTATATTCCAAACTGAAAGTTGATTAATTGGTCAACGGTTCATCGGTTCGACCATCCCATCCAATTAGGATTAAACTGCTTTTAATCAAGAGATTTTATGAATATGATGGCAACAATCAATTAAATATTAATTAAATCCAAGGTTCAAAGTATCAATACGTATTGTGCCGGTGGTTTCTTGATACGTTCCTATAGAGGGTGTATTAGGGTTCTGACCAGTTCAGAGGGTGGAGAAGCCTTAAACCGGCCTCTGAACAGGTTTTGAAAAAAAAAATAAAAAAAAGGCAAAATCACATTGGAATTGATTTGTCGAGTCGTCAAAGGACCAGGATCTTAACTTGGGTTGGGGGTCGGGTTGAATTGGGCATACCAAACCCGAACCTGATTCCATGATTGGTTCTGTTTGATCTAAAATCGCTTTTTGGGCATAAATTGTTGATTTGGTTAGTGAACTGCTGCACCTGAACAATGTTTTTTGACAAATTTTTTGTTTTTTAATTTTTTATTTTGTTGAAACGGGCCATCTATTCAGACCATTTGACCCAGGAACCGGTCCCCAATACGGTTCCCTGTCGGATCTGGTTTTAAGAACCTTGTTTTGAAGTCTATTGGGGTCAAATTCCATTTCAGAGACAGGCCTTAAACCAACCTTAGAAAAAAAAAAAAAAGTGTAAGGTTCAAAGATGGGGGTGTGGTACTTAGCACAATGCCTGAGCCAGGGTCGGGTTGGGCTTTACGATTTATTAACAAAAGAATGTCCAAGCCTTGAGCCTGGCCTGATCCTTGGAACTATTCTTGAACATGAACCCGAACCCAGTCCTTATAAAAAGTTCACAGCCCAATCTGAATGGGAAGTTAAAAGCAAATTTGAGACTCAAGTTTATAAATCAAGTCTCAAACCGAGCTTAACCCAATACAACTTAGGCTGGGTCCGGGTCTTGGGTTGTATCGGGTCGGGCTTAGTGAGATGATTAGGTTTGAAAGAATTTATGATCAGAATTTTTTGTATATTCATCTTTTATTAGGCTTTAGAACCCAACTTTGAATTAAAATGAAATAAAAATTTGTAAAAATTTCACTATATATATATTGGAGTGCACTTGAGCAATCCGGGGATATCTATAAATTGTACTTGGTAAAAGCAGACAAAATAATTATAAATGAGCATTTAATTAATTTTTTTAAATTTTATTATAAGTCCAAATATATATGATTAAAAAATAATTGGAGGCTCTCTTGCCTTAAAAAGCAATATAATTAGAACCCGAATCTATTTCTTGGTGATGAGTAGTGGATATCTAGATCTACCCATATTACCCAAAGAGTAAGAAGTAGGGGTGCAAGTTGGGTGTGTTGGGCCAGGTTTATGGCCAATCCAAGCCTGACCCCAAAATTTGGGCTCAAGCCCGAGGTTAAGCCTAATTTTTTCTATTCGAGCTCAACCCGCACTGTAATTTGATGCACTGGATTGGGTTTGGGCTCAAGTTGGTCAATAAATCTGCTCTAAAATTATATATATATATATATATATATATATATATGAATGTGTATAATTGGGTCGAGAGCTCAGTATAGATTCGGGCTACTTAAGGACTAAGCCCGGTCTCAGGCCTGGCCCAAAAAATAAAAAAGCCCAAGTTCTTAAGCCCAAGCTCAACCCAAGGACAGAAAATCCAAGCCCAACCTATGTAGAATTTCAGGCCGGGTCGGTTCAGACTCGGGCTAGTCCCGCCCAAATTGCACCCCTACTTGATAAGGCTTGCTGACTTGCAATTGCCCTTTCACTGCGTCCCGTGGACGGGGTAATTCCAAATCCCATCAAAGAATACATCCAAACATTTCAATTCAATTCCTTCTATTTGTCACGTTTTCTTCTCCTCTAATTTTTCAAAAGTCAAAGGGGGACTGGGGGAGGAACTCGGGGGAGGAGATATTCAGCTATTCCACGTCCACAGCGTTGAGGGAGAAAGACAAATACGATCGGGGCGTGTCGACTTCCATTTTTGATTACCCGACCAAGCACGCCTTTCACAACCCCAATAAAAATCAAGATGTGGATCCCCATCTTCCTCCTCTACCTCTTCATATCACAATATATATATTATCCCGCAGAAGCATGAATAGACTTACCAACCCAGCACACTGTCAAGCGTTAATCTCCCAATTAACGTTGCAGGCTTACCAAGCTTCCTCCATGGCATCTTCCTCCCAAAATACTTTTCTTCTGCACAATCAAAGCAGGCTGTTCGACGCTAAAATGCTTTCCTCCCTTCATTCTCTGCAACTTCCATCACCTGCCAGGACCAAACGTCTAACGCATCGCGGCTCATCCGTCCGTCCCATCGTCGCTTCTTCGACTGATGTGCCTTTAACTACCACAACAGATCCTCCACCAACGGCATCGCCGGCGCCGAAGCTCCCGCTCAGAAAAATCCCAGGAGACTACGGCCTGCCCTTTATAGGCCCAATAAAGGACCGACTCGATTACTTCTATAACCAAGGCCGTGACAAATACTTCAGCTCTCGAGTTCTCAACTACCAGTCAACCGTGTTTCGAGCCAACATGCCACCCGCTTACTTCATCGCCTCCAATCCTAACGTCATTGTCCTCCTCGACGGCAAGAGCTTTCCCGTGCTGTTCGACGTTTCCAAGGTCGAGAAGAAAGACCTCTTCACCGGCACTTACATGCCCTCCACCCAGCTAACCGGCGGTTACCGAATCCTTTCCTATCTCGACCCCTCCGAGCCTAAGCATGCAAAGCTGAAGCAACTTCTTTTCTTCCTGCTCCAGTCTTCCCGCTACAGGGTCATTCCTGAGTTCCATACAGCTTTCACTGAGCTTTTCGAGACTCTGGAGAGCCAGATTGCCGCAAAGGGCAAAGAAGGTTTCGGCGACATTAACGACCAGGCCTGCTTCAATTTCCTCGCGCGGGCGTTCTACGAGGCCAACCCGCCCGAGTCAAAACTCGGTACAGACGGGCCTAGCTTGGTGGCTAAATGGGTGATTTTCCATCTAGGCCCAATTCTCACTCTGGGCTTGCCGAAACTTCTGGAGGAACTCTTACTTCATACCTTCAGTCTGCCGCCAATTCTCATCAAGTCCGATTACCAGAGGCTCTACGACTTCTTCCACGGGGCGTCCGGTCGGATCCTGGATGAAGCGAAGAAGATGGGAATCGAGAGGGAGGAGGCTTGCCATAACCTCCTTTTCGCCACATGCTTTAATTCCTTCGGTGGAATGAAAATCCTGTTCCCCAGTTTGGTCAAGTATATCGGTGGCGCTGGGTCGGCTCTGCATGAGAAACTGGCGGAAGAGGTCAGGTCCGCTATACGCTCTAACGGAGGGAAGGTGACGATGGCGGCAATGGAGCAGATGCCGTTGATGAAGTCGGTGGTGTACGAGGCGTTGAGAATTGATCCACCGGTTCCATTTCAGTATGGGAGGGCAAAGAGGGACCTGGTGATCGAGAGCCACGATGCGACATTCGAGGTAAAGAAGGGAGAGATGTTGTTTGGCTTCCAGCCGTTCGCGACAAAAGACCCCGAGATCTTCGACAGACCGGAAGAGTTCGTACCCGACCGGTTCGTCGGGGAAGGAGAAAAGTTGTTGAAGCACGTAATATGGTCGAACGGACCGGAGACGGAGAGTCCGACGGTGGAGAATAAGCAGTGCGCTGGGAAGGATTTCGTAGTCTGGGTGTCTAGGCTGTTTGTAGTAGAACTATTTCAACGTTACGATTCATTTGAAATCGAGGTAGGGACTTCAGCTTTAGGTTCTTCTGTTACTTTCACGTCAGTGAAGAAGGCAAGTTTCGAGTGAGCAGTAGCAGTACTATACCATTGCTATTAGATTCTGGCGATGGCCCGTGATATTTATTTTTTATCAATTAATATTTATGCACAAGTGAATTCACCATGATACTGGTTGGTTTATCGGTGGAAATGACAATTTGACCCGTACTCATGTTTGGGGTGCGTTTTTTTTACCACTATCGTGCTTTGGGGAAATAAATAAGAGAATGTATATGTTTGGTTAATGGGAGTTTTCTAGAGGCGTTTCTTATCACAAACACTACTTTAAATGTTTTTTTGCTTTTTCTATTTGGTTGGACGTTCTAATGTGTTATGGGCATTTTCATTAACACCCACCCTATAAAGTTGCTTTCCACTTCAAATAAAGTGTGCCACATTGGCATTGCGGGAAATATGAATTTGATGTCTCCCCAAATGCCCCATGCACATAAATTTCAGTTTTTTAGTGTTTATTCCATAAATGATAAATGATGAAACCAAACAATGGTTTCATATGTAATAAACACTAATGCCTATGTGGCATCGATGTGGTGGCGTTTTTTCAAATAAGTGCCTACAGAAACAAACATATACTATATAATTGTTTTATATTTTAACTTTTTAATAACCAATTCGATAGAACTCCACCTGAGTTGGTTTGTGTTCTAGTATTTTTTATCAGCTTTGGTTCATCAACTTTCCAACCCGACCAAGTTAGGTTAGTTTCGGTTTGGCCATTTGTAAATTGACCAAAACTGAACTGACCCAACAGTATATATGTATATGTATATGGATAGATAGATAGATAGATAGATATCTAATAGATTCTTAAAAATTGTAATTAATTATATTAATTAACATTTTTCTTATTTTGGAGAAAATAATCTCCCTTAAATATAACAAAATAATAATTATTAGTTATTTAATTTTGGTGTAATTAAAACATATAATTTCAGGAAATTAATTAAAAATAACTCAAATTTTCCTGAAAATTCTAATTAATTAGATTGGTTAATATTTGCTTTATTTTAGAAAATAATATCCTTTAGTTAAAATGAATAATACTTTTTAGTTATTTAATTAAAAATTTTAGTGTATAATTAATTCTCTGTAATTTTTGATAATTCTTAATTACTAATAATTATCGTAAATTAGTGTAATTTATTTATAATTAACATTGCTTTTTTCAAATAACATAAATTATTATTATTATTATTATTATTATTATTATTATTATTATTATTATTATTATTATTATTATTATTATTATTGTTGTTGTTGTTGTTCATTGTAACTATTGTTGCTATTTAATTTTTAACTCATTAACTATTGAAAATTATCAAAACATAATGTAATTTATTGTTATTTAATTAATATATATTGTTACCCACTTATGTTTTTAAATTATTTTCATTAACTTTAATTATTGTTGTTATTTATTTTTTATTGTAATTTATTGTTATTTTATGATTTATAACCATTATTTATTGAAATTTATCAGAAATAGTGTAATTTATAACTATTCGAACTATCACTCAGTCAAGATTCCAAGTCCAGTTTACATGAAACCCGTCATTGGCCAATTGTATTGTTTTTTTTTCGTTTAAGTTTGAATAATGTTTTAAAATCTATGCTGGCTTAAGGCGTTGAATGCCCCACTATTTTTGCCAAAATATCTTTTTTTGGGGCCTTAAATCACAAATTTTAACATTTTTTAAAACATACAATAAAAATTGTGTGGCCTCACGCAACAAAGTCTATCCCCTCTCTCCTAAACCTCTCTACATTCCTTATTTATTGTTCTTAAAACTCTCCTATGGTCCTAATTCCTAAAATACATATCCTTATTCCTAAAATATTGCTCATAATCAACTTTTTTTATACTTTTAACTAATCCCCACTTCCCTACTTCTAACTAAGACACCTCTCTCTCTCTCTCTCTCTCTTATATATATATATATATATATATATATATATATATATATCTATTCGGATCCATTTATCTAAAGTGATGTGGTTTATAATTGAAAATTTCATTTTATTTTCTTATAACTCATACCAAAATAAATTAATTATTTCATGATTAATTAAAAATTCCCAAAAAATATTACTATTTTTAATAATTAATAATTTTCATTTAGCAACATTTTTGGGATTAATTACTAAGGGGGTGTTATATAGCGTAGATGAGAAATTGGGTGGTGTGTTTTAATCCACACAACAGGTGACCACACCCCGACAGAGTAGTTGTTCTACACTATGGACAAAAATGTGTGGACCAATCACACCACACCTGTATGGGCGTTCCATAAGGTGTGGTGTATTTTAGTCCACACCTTGTGTTTGATTCCATGCATCTTAACTACAACATTTAAGATAACCTATGCCATTAATCATTAAAAAATAATATTTTATTTTTTAAGTAATATATAGAATATAATAATATACTAATAGTAAATTGCTAAGAATTTTAATAAAATTAATATTAATAATTATAAATAACACATAATAATATTAATATTAATAATAAATGAATAGTAACATTAATAATATTTGATAATATTAACAACAATATTAATAACATTTAGTAATAAGTAGTAATATCAATAACAATTAATATTAATAAAAGTAATATTCAAAACTTAATAATTAAAAAATAATATTAATATTAATTAATAATATTTAATAATAAATAATATTTTTAATAATAATTAACAACAACTATTAATATTAACAAAAATAATATTCAAAACTTAATTATTAATAAAATATAAATTTATTTGATTAAAATGTAATTAACTTTTTCATGCAAGATCATATAGCATGATATATGCAATTCCAAAAAAAAATGTTGATTTCATCTAAGTCAACTGAAAGTTAAGCATCAAATTGAAAGTCAACCATGCCAAAACCATGTTTAAAAGTTAGCATCATGTAAGGTAGTTCCATACACTCTCACTAGCACTTGGTTTCTTTGTGATTGGATCTATGGTGATCCTTGTATTGTTGCAATTTTTTTTATAATCATTGAACTTTTTCATTAGATGGTGAAATTTATTCTTGAATTGATCTCGACTATATGACTTGTGGTGTCTCTGGTTGAATTTCTCCACAATATTTTTCCAACCTTTCGTATTAAAAGTTGATGTTGGCCTATTGTGTTCTTTTACTTGTTCAACCATCAACTCTATGAATGTCCTTTCCTCAGCCTCACACCATGTTGCAGATTCATTTGTTATTTCCTCTTACAATGTATTTGCTAGGGTGACTATATATTTTTGTAGAATTTGAGTGGGCGGAGTGAATACAATCAAATACATCTTACAATCTTGACAATCAACATAGTGTATACTCCTACCTAAGAGAAGGGTTACCTAAGAGTTTGAGCTATAGAACACATCAGTATGGAGTCATCCTCTTAAAGATGAATATTTTAAATGAATATTCAATCATACATCAATGGTTATCAAGTAGTTGAAATAAAGTATATTGATTCGAATCCATATATGTTGCTAAGTCCATGAGTTGAAATATATCCTAAATGCATGGGTTTAGGTAGGTTCATAAAATGCTTCATGGATCTGAAATATCTATTAATATCAAAGAAAAAAAAGAATTGATGATCTATTGAGCATCCTATCCCATAACACATGGTGGCAATCCCCTGGAGTTTAAATTTTCAATTCATGTTTATCCTTATTTATCATTATCTTTATCCTCTATTGTATCTTATCCAAGAGAGAGTTTCTCTCCATGTAAATTGTCTATCTCTTGTAACAAATTATAAATACAATTCATTGAATCACTCAAAGTGAGTGAAATCAATTCAATCCAAACCTGTGTTGGTTCATGATCTATTTGAGGTACTAATAGCCCCCCACAAAAAAAGGAAACTGCAAGTACCCCTCAAAATACATAAAATTTCAGAATTTTTAATGTGTTCTTTTTTTTTTTTTAATTCTAGAATCCAATATGTCCAACATAAGCACATCTTCTCTTTAGGAGTCTATGCAACACATGCAATTCACGTACATCATACAGTACCAGAAACTTATGCATAGCTCTCCATTCATGGGCTTCCTATATCTACCTATAAAGCAATGCTAAAACCACAGCTAAAGACCACGCCCTTCAGTCATGCAGCTTCACCAACATACACTACTCGTGTGGGGAAGCAAAAGCCAATCCCATCTGGGAAAAGCAAATCGTAACTCCTATAAACTTAAAGAGTTGAGAATCAAGAACACATTCTGATTTCTGAAGTAATTTACAGCTGAAACCCAGGAACCCAATCTACCAACAGCAAGGTTAATCAATTCATTAGAGCTTTTCCTTTTGTTATTGAACAGTGTATTGTTCCTTTCCCGCCAAATAAATCCAATCACCACAACAGGAATTGACTTCAAAAGGCAAACTTGGAAAGACCTGGGAGGCACCAACTGCAGAGCACACCTGGGAGGCACCAACTGAAGGGCACATCCTTTACCAAGCCTGGCATCACCCAACTAGCCCCACCAACTTTAATAAAGTGAAGCCAGATTGCCCAGGCAGGTGGTCAATGGATTCATCATCCTATCCCAATAATAGAATGCATCAACACAACAATGCATCATGTTCTTGTACTTTAGAGAGCTCATAGGCTAAGCACTTCAAAGGTCCAACCCTTAGAATATCTCATCTCTTCCTGAACAAATAAAAGGCAATTTTTTGATTCATCTTCATTCCTACCCCCTCATAACTCTCTCTTTTCCAGCACAATTTCTAGCCCTCGAGCCGATACATGTTCAGGATTCACATGAAGAAGGTTAAGTTGTTTTTAACAGATGATCAAACAATAATTCTTGTCTTCTTGACATGCATCAACAAGAAAGATATTGAAGGAGGATGCCAGTACACCCTTGCTCAGCCAGGGAAAATTAAACTTTTCATGCTAGACCTTGTGTATGGCATTACATTCTGAAGGAGGTTGCTACCATCCCCCTCCTGAAGTCAAGTTCCATTAAATCAGGTCAGTTTTAAAATTATATATATAGTTATTATACAAACAAAAGCTTTAGTTTCTGAGGTTAAAAATACAGAAAAAAAATATACACCAAAAACTTGCTTTAAAAAAGAAGCAAATACCTCAAACGGATCATCAAGAATCTTGCATCTATGGCATGTTCTTTGAATATGTTAGATATTAAACGAAAGAAAATATTCAGGCACGTGACATATTCAAAATGGTTGACGCAACGAAAGAAAATATCTAACACCAACTTTTCTTGAATATGTTCTTTCGTTGAATATCTAACATGTTCTTTGAATATGTTAGACAGAGTACAGAAAAATAACAACAATGAAAGAAATGGTTGAAGTTGTAGAAGCCGGAGAAGGAGCAATTACCGCCGGTGGTTTGGTGCATCAATGGTCGAAGTTGCAGAAGCAAGTGAATGAGCACTGACAAGATTTTGACCCGTGGTGTGGACCAATCCATGAGATAGCGTGAATTGGTCCACACAACAGGCGAACCGAACATGCTAAACAGGTGTTGCGTGGAATCAAACGCAATATCACATGGACATCATGGACATTCCACGATGTCGAACACCACTTAATATTGTTGATAATTTACTAATAATTTACCCAAATTGATTAATCCTTTTCAGGATTAATTAAAAAATTACAAAATTCACTTAAACGTTAAACCCTATTATTTATATCCATGATTTATTAAAAATTTTCAAAATCTAATACCAAAATATATTACTATTTTTAATAATAAATATTAGTAATATATTAATAATTCATTGGTGATATATTACCAACAAATTAATTAATTAATTACCAATAATAACTAATTGTTTTATTAATGTCAAAATTTAAAAAATAATAATTATTTCATGAATAATTAAATTGATTATTAAATTAACTATGATTACTGTTAATAATAGTAATATATCTATATATGGCAATGTTTTCATAAATTAAGAATTATAAAGTTTATTAATTCATAATTGAGAATTATTAATTATAATTATAAATTTATTAATATTTTTAATGATTAATTATAAAATTTAAATATTAATTATTAACTATTTTTTTGAATAATTAAAAAATACCATAAAATATTACTATTCTAAGTTGGTAAACTCGACCCTAGGTTAGTAAATTATCAGTAATTATTGCCATTCTATTTTTGTTATATATTAGTAAATTATTAGTAATTATTGAAAATTACTAGTGACTTTTTCTTATCAACATAGGCCTAACTTGAGCTTTAACCCAACATCTTGAGTTGGGCTTAAATAATTTCTTCTCCAATAACTTTTCCAATGAGATACACTTTTCCAATAACTTAAATAATCTCTTCTCCCAAAATTTCTCCTAAACTACCTCTCCGCACTTTCTCCAAAATTATCTCTAATTCCTATTAATCTTCTAAATTATCTCTAATTTCTATTTATCTCCAAAATTATCTCTAATTTGGTAGGGAGTTTCTCTCCTAAATTATCTTTAATTCCAATAAAAACTTTAAGAATTATTTAAATATTTTAACAAAATTATATAATAACTTTAAAATATTTCTTAAAAACACAATAATATTTTTACATTTTTACAAAATATATCACGAAATTATGTACTAACAATTTAAATTGTGCTTTTTTTTTCTGGATTATCAATTTAAATGTTTTTAAAATAATAATATGTAATAGCTTTAAATAAATAAAATTAAAATAACCAAAAAAATAAATATTTTATATATTGTTTAAATATTTAAATAACTAAATATTAGAACATAATATTGAAATTAATAATAATTTAATATATTATAAAATTAATAATTAAATTATGTAATAATAGTATAAATTTTGATTTTATGAATAATTAAATTCAATAAATAATTATTATATATAAATTTAAATATTTTACATATTATTTAATTATTTAAATAACTAAATATTTAACATAAGTAGATTTTAAATAGTTAAGATAAAGAAATTATGTAATAAATTTAAAAATTCTGAAAATTAAAAAATAATTATAACATAATATTGAATTTAATAATAATTTAATGTTTTTAAATAATTAATTTCAGTTATATCAAGTAATAATTTGAGAAAATAAGTTAAAAAAAAATTAATATTTATTAATAATAATTTAAACTCTTAATATGTATTTATTATATAATTATATATTCTAAAATTAATATTTATTGTATTTCAGTAATTATTTATTATTTTTTGTGATAAATGTATTTTCAATGATTATGTATAAATTGATTTCGTTTTGTTATTTAACAGAAAACTTTCTATAATTATTGGAGATTAAACTACTATTATTGAAATTTTTAAATTTAATTTATTGTATTTATTGTATTTTTGTTATTGATTAATATTTATAAGAGATTAAACTATTATTTGAGATTATACTATTTATTTACTAAGTTAATATATTTTTAGTACTTATTGTATTTTTGTAATTATTGTTTTTTTTTCATTATCAATATATTTTCAATAATTATGTATTTTTGCTATAAATTTTCAATAATTATTGGAGATTAAACTATTGTTATTTATCAAAGATGAGACTACTAATTTAGCTGAAATTATGAGTGTTCATGAGTTGGTTTGGTTCGGTCGTAGGGTATTTGGCTAGCCAAATTGACCTGGTCAGGTTGGGGAGTTGGTCAATTGAAACCAACTGACCTTTTGTGAAAACCGACCCACTCAAGTTATATTGGTTTGGGTCAATTTTTACGTTTGGTCAGTTGGTTCAAAAGATTGAAACTTAAAAATTTAATTTAATTTTAAAAATTATTATAGTGTAATTATTAAAAAATAAATTTAAAAATTGGATTTATGATATAAAACATTTTAGACTAAGAAATATGGAAAACTTCCCACTTTTCCATATTAAAAATTATATTTAAAATATAAAATATTAATATATATCCATGGTTAGGTTGTTCGATTTTGGCCAGTTTACAAATGGCCAAAGTGAAATTGATCTAACTCGGTTGAATTGGGAAATTTTTGAACCAAAGCCGACCTACAATACTAGAAAACCAACCAACTCGAGTCGAGTTGATCGGGTTGGTCGGTTTCATCAATTTGATGAATAAACCTAACTGAAATGAATTATTGTTATTTTTGTATTATAAAAAAAATTATTAAAAGTAGTATATAAAATATGAATAATTATTAATTATTTAAAAAGTTAAAAATATAAAACAATTGTATACTCTTATGAGTTCACATCTACACCCCACAACGTCCCACAGCATATCCCCGTCGTTTATTGGGAACACCTCCCGATGATGACATCATGGGTTCTAGTACAATCATCGGGAGATGTTCTTAATACACGGGGGAAATATGTTGTGGGACGTTGTGGGGCGTAGATTTGAACTCTACTCTTTTGTGTTTTTATTAGGGTCATTAATTTAGTAGAACACACCTTATAGTTGTACATATTTACTTAAACCTACCTTATAGTTTTCATTTTACTAAAACATCCCATATATTTTACAACTTATTTACTTAATCAACCTTTCATTAAGGAGTGTTTGTTTTGCCATTAGGCCCATGGTTTTTATTCCAAAAATACGCTTAACACTTTTTTTGTACATAAAACAAAATTAACCAAATATAGCCAATAGAGTGGTTGCCCGTGTCTTATTAAGGGCAAAAATGGTATATTGATTTTTATCTTCTTTCGATTAAATTTATTTAAATGAGCATTAGGGTCAACACTATCATTTTTCATTGTCATCTAATAGAAGATTGAATAAATCCATTGCAAATTATAAGTGGTGTTTTAGTAAAATGCTAAATATATGGTAGATTTTAGTGAATCCATGAAACCATAAGGGTATTTTAATAAATGACCCTTTCTATTATTTAGTTTTTGCTTAATAATCCCTGCTAGTTTATACTAAAACGCAGTAGTCTAGAAAATTTCTCCTTTTTTTGAATTAACAACCAATGTGATGCTCTCCTTCCCCATAAAAAATTACCTAAAATCTCTCTCTCTCGTTCTTAATAACCTAAATAATATCCTCTCCTAAAATTTCTCCTAAACTACCTCCCCCACTTTCTCCTTAATTAACTATAATTCAACTCCGGATCTCCTGCCCACACCTACCCACAATACACCACCCCCCGTGAATTGGGAACATCTCCCCCTGCATAATACCATGCAGAGGATGAGATGTTCTCCATGTGTGACTGCGATAAACGTGGGGTGGTGTATGGGGACCATTGACCAACTTTCCCGTCTCAAAATCCAGAAAAAGAACACCCAATTAATTTTGATGTTAATATTTTGGGTATTTTTTTCATTATATTTTACAGTGTTACAATCCTAAGTGTGCGATTGTTGATAGATGGTGAAAATAGTCCGTTTAAACCTTCAAAAATAATTGAAAAAAGTTAAGCTTAAGAAATGTAAACTGAGGGATAAATATTTAGCACATTCCCTTTACATCTAGGATTAGTCGCTGTATCTTCCTCTCTCAGTACCCACTACCCATCAAGAACTCACAACGACACCCTTCAGTTCATTGTATTGCATTACCCAATAAACTACTACTTGAAGGAGAGCTTTGTTCACTGAACCAAGGATCCTGCACCGAAACAGGTGAATAACTATCCTTCATCTCCGTTGAAATTACAAATTCACCTCTCTGCGGCACAACCGATCTCTGATTCTCTAATCCCACATTCTTGTCAACAGTTCCGTGTGAGTGTGACTTCTCACTCATATTAGATGACGATGATGAACATGAGGATGACAAGACAGACGATGACTCCATGCAGATGTTTTCCTCCATAGTTATCCATCCACTAAGCCTGATGTTTTCTAGCTCAGTTGCCACTTCCTTCATAGAGGGCCTCATGTCTCTATGAAATGCAAGGCATCTGAATGCCAGCTCCGCCACCTTATGCACAGAAGAAAGGGTCCAAGCATCTCTGTGTGGCTCAAGGAAAGGATCTATAATCTCATCCACGCATCCCTTACCAATTTTTTCTACAGCAAGAGCAGCCAAATTCACTTCATTGTGGGGTCTAGAGAAGTCCACCACCTTGAGTGCTGTTATGATCTCCACTAGAACTACTCCAAAACTGTAAACATCACTTTTATCAGAGAGATGAAAGTTCTGGTGATATTGTGGATCAACATATCCTGGAGTCCCTTGTGGGGCAGTTGAGATGTGGGATGACTCCATCAAACCAAGTCTAGATAGACCAAAATCTGCAACTTTAGAGTTGAAGTTGTAATCTAAAAGAATATTGCTGGATTTTATGTCTCTGTGATATATGGGTGGGTTGATGGCGGAGTGGAGATGGGCGATAGCCTGAGCGGTTTCACATGCAATAGTGAGGCGAATTGTCCAAGGGAGGCCATTGCCTCTCTCCCTCTGTAGATGCTCTGAGAGAGTTCCATTCGGCATGAATTCATATACAAGGATCTGTTCACCCCTCTCTATACAGAAACCTAAGAGGCGAACTAGATGTGGGTGGCTTACAGATGAGAGTAGCTTTATCTCATTCATGACTTGCTCCATGCCATCATTGTCTCGGTGTCTGATCTTTTTGATGGCCACCCACTCATCGCTGTGGAGCTTTCCTGCGTACACTGTTCCGTAGGCTCCAGTTCCCAGCCTTTGTTTGTCGGAAAAGCCATTTGTGGCTCTCTCAATTTCCTTGTAGGGATAAAAAGGAACACTGCAAACACCGGCCGCTTCGGATAGGAGGCGTTGTGTTCTCTTTCTGGTTTTCAACGAAGTCGATCGCCGTTGGACGAAATAGCAGAGAAGAACTAATCCAGCCACCAGAGAAGCTCCAGCAATGATACCTGACAACAGAAGTAAATCATATTTTGGAATTAAAATCATGAAGGTACACTTAATTAAGAGTTAAGATTCAGATCTCGTTGTTTATAGCAAATGTTAAAATCAATCATGCACAGAATGTTGTGTCTACTAGATTCAGATTCAGACTCCCAGTGTACATCTTCTTGCTGCAACCCCAACTAAGTAGGGGACAGGCCGGCAGCGATGGAAAAAGAAAAGGAAGTAGGGCCGGCGTGTCTACATATGTTTTATTAGGGGTGTTAGAGAATAAAAAAAAAAAAACTAAAGCTTTTAAGGTTGAATGGTTTATTGAGATGGTATAAAGCCTGTTTGACTTAGATTATACGCCTTGTTTGTATATATTTAGGGGTGTAAATTGGATCAGGCCTGGTCCAATCCAATCCGGTCCAGTATGAAGCCATTGCAGAATATGGACCAGGTCTACTCCAATCCAATGAATGCTTTGGATAATTTTGGACCAGTCCAAATAATTCAATGTTTAGACCGATCAATCTGTTAAAATTGGTTTTAATTTAGATTGGTTCCAACTCAAGTCAGGTCCATTGACACCTATATTCTTATTTTTTATCAATGGATCGGATGTCGGTTCAATCCAACTCAATCCAATATAAATTCATTATAGATGGACCAGGTCCAATCCAATCTAATAAATACTTTAGGCCATTAAGTCTGGATTCGTCCAATTGAATATGTCTTATTGGTCCATCCAATCCGTCCAAATTGATACTGATTTGGACAGAGCCCTAACCCAAAACCGGTTCTTTGACATAGGGATGCAAACGGATTGGATTAGATTCAAATCAGGATATATTCGAATCCAATTAATCCGACATTATTCATGTCAGATCTGATCGGATCGAATCTGATAGGACTTGGTTTGAATTTGAATCTTGTCGGTAAGTCAGATCTTCAGATCTGATCCGATCCGACTTATTTTCTATAAAAATAAAAAAAAATATTAAAAGAAAAATAAAATATACTAATTTAAATAAAGTAAAAACAAAAAGTACAAGTATTTATTAATTATTTTCATCATATACATACATGTTTTTTATAAAAAAAATAATATAACAAATTTATATAAATATATTTATAAATAAATGAATAACATATATATGTATTATATATATTTATAAATATATAATATATATCGGATCGGATCTTCTCAGATCAAATAAGGGGTGATCCAAATCCAATCCGATTTTTGATCGGATCCTATTATCTAATCCGATCCAAAGATCCAAATAGGGGTGATTCGAAAATCAGACGGTTGTTGGCTTCTGGACAGTGATGAGCCAAAAGATATTAATCTGTTGCCTTTATGCGGTTTTCAGATTTCTTTTCTACAACTCGTACAGATACATGTGGGGTACGGTTTTAGACTAAACCTAACCCTCCCCAACCCACATATTGTTGGAAAGCATATATATTTTATGTATTAGGTGTTGAATTTAATAAAGGAAAATTCCACTTTAGTACCTTGAACTTTGGGGGTAGTGTCAAGTTAGTACCAAAACTTTCAATTGTGTCATTGCAATACCTAAACTTTCAAAAAATGTCAAGTTGGTCCCTACCATTAACCGACCATCAATTATCTACTGAAAATGTCAAAACTACCCTTCAAAAGAAGACATTGTTCATTGTCTTCTACCTTGAGACTAAACCTCCCAAAAAACAAAAAGTTCAACCATCATCCAACGGGTCTGGATGTAGTAGGCATGTTAGGTAAGCACAATGAGTGAGCACATAATAACTGTGTGACACATGTCGTAGCTAATGTGCCTTTCATCCAAACATTTTTGCTCCGTTAGATAAATTATCCATTATTTTATTATCTTTGTCAAAATAATTAAAAATAAAAAACAATAAAAAAGGAAAATGTAAATAAATCCCAACTCCCAACACGTTTAAGTTTTCTTTTCTCATTGTTTTTATATTTAATTATTTTGACAAAAATAATAAAATAATAGATAATTTCTATCTAACGGAGCAAAAACATTTGGATGAAAGGTGCTTTAACTAGGACATGTGTCACACAGCTATTACATGCTCACTCATTATGTTTACCTAACGTGCCTACTACATCGGGACCCTCATCCAACCAAGCCACACCCTGGCATAGCCTTTTCCTTCCGACGTCACCCCAAGAATAGACTTTCACGGATGAAGAAAAAAAAGTCATAAGCCTGGTTTGGCTCCACCTCTTCTTCCCTTTCTGCCCTTGCCCTTGGATGATCTTGATACGCTCAAGTTATCTAACAAGAGGGAGAAGGATCTAGAATAAGGAGAAGAGAGAGAGAGAGAGTTTGTTTGTAGAAAAGTCAATGCCAACTCCATTCATTCAGGCTACATTTATAGCCTTATGGTGCTACAAACTAGGAGTAGAAATAGGAACTACTGCCCCTTAATCTTAGGAGCTTATCAACAAAAAAAAACAGAATGCACTTATCTAGGAAACAGAATGCACTTATCTCGGAACAGAATTGAAGACTTATCTAATGCACTTATCTAGGA